AAGAGGTAGAGTTATTCAACTCTTAAGTGTTCCTATATATATGCGTGTTGGTTATGTTTTTGATTCGCGTTTTTCAGAATGAACGGTTCAACCGATTTCTATGATTTTGGTATTAATGATGGAACTGTAAGAAAATGTTTTTTATTTTCTTGTAGTTATAAAAACTTTAATTAAAATATCGGCATACTATTTAAAAGCGCATTTTTATGAAAAATGTAAATAACTTCGAAATCCCACGGCAGGTTTTTCCCTAACTTCAGCAAATAAGCGTCAGAGCTCTCTAGTTTTATACCTGCAAGTTTGAAGGCAATCGTGACCGTAGAACTCGCTGCACAAAATGCTGGTCAAATTTAACCTTAAAATGCTACACTAACACATTTGTGGGAGTTGACGCACGAATAGAGGTAGAGTGCCGACAGACTATCACCTATCTAAAAGGATTTTCCTACCTGAAGCTTTATTACAAGAAACAAATGTGAAGGCAAGTCCATTTCTGAGTTCCAAAAACCCTCACTTTGAAAACAAGGGTAAGTGCAAAACCTTTCTTGTGATAATGAGCCTCATTTGCATGAGAGTGAAAGATGATTTTTATATCAATGGTTTCGCTTAGCCTCGCTTTGAAACAGAGGCTTGGGCCAACTGGGAACGGAAATGTCCCGTTATCATGACAGCAAAAGAAAAAACAAAACTTGCTATCATTTCCATCATGCAATTTGACACAACACCGTCCCAGAGTCACCCGTAACCTTAGTACAACGAATAGGGCATTGCTTTTCCTGGTTGTTCCTCATTTCTTTAGGCCCTGCCACAATTGGCAAGTTATCTTTCATCTCACTAAGTAATTTTGTTGTAACCTGTTCTTTCATTCATAATGTGGACAAAACTTAGGGAACAGGAGGGTCTGCTAAAATCACTAATACTAGCCTTTGCATTTTAGCAAAATTTCGTTTTATTGAATTCAATTACACATTTTTCACTCCACTTGACAAAGTGGATGCTTAAAAAACAGCTTGAAAATAAATCATTACCACTTACAGTTAATATTTAAAAAGGCTGCGTTTTTTCCAGTTATTTTAAGATAACAAGTAGCCTCTGTACAGCCACCCCCTCCTTCAGAAAGAAATCGGAGAAGTGGTCGATTTTTTTTTAGTCGAGGGGGCGTCTGTACAATGGCTAGGTAACATTAAGATGTGGCCGCCCATTTCTTACCCATTATGGGCTACAGTGTGCGATTAATGATTAATGTGAATTATCTTTCCTAATCCAAAAATCAACGTGTTTCGGATCGTGTAATATATCAAACAGGACATATAGGACACACAGTGTTTCATCCGACACTAGACACTGAAGAGTAATATGTAATTTTCTTATGTAATGAATATGGGAAAATACCAACAAAAGCAAATAAAAACCGATAAAAAATTAGGATAGCGAGATACACAAAACTTCCTTTTGACTTACATCTGAAAGGCTAGTTATTACTAGCATTCATATTGGCAGCAAACGACGTTTGACCATGCGTGCAACTCAAAACAATTATTTGCGAGCATTGTTACAGTAACGCTCATTAACTTGGGAGGAGGTGCGTCTTTACCACCAACTGGACATTCCACCCACTTGTAGCATGTTGTGGACTCCACTTTGCACTTTATATTAGGTTTGAGACAACTACCAAGAGCTGTGTTGTAGTCCATGCCGCCATCACATTTTTTGCGGCCGTAAGGCATTGGTTGTCTCCGCAGTCGGTTTGGAATTTCTGCGAAAGAAAAAAACCTTTTTTTGGTACTGTGTCACGAAATTGATCAAAATTCTGACAGTAGGAACTGCCGCTACATTGAGTGAAACATAAAAATAATAGTTCAATGCATTAGAAGAAAGTATGAATAACACAGCAAATATAGAAGTGGACGTGGATGGACAAACTCGAAGAAGATTGAAAAGGAGTGAAATTGTGGGTTTTTGAAAACTTGTTAGCCTAATAGTTCTTCAAAGTTGATTTTTGTTGTTTATAAGATTTAATACAATGCTTGGGATATATATTTGATGGAAAAGAAGCTGTGATTTTGTCATTTACAAGAAATTTCTTCGTTAACATTAATTTCCATAGCGCATAAGGAAGTTTAATTAACTGGCAACATGAACAAAAAGAAACTATTGTAGACAGCCGTGACATAGTTCCCTTAAGGGCCTGTTTACATGGAGGTGGGGGACCTCAGATAGGTGAGGTAACCCGCTTAGGTGGGGGAGCCCAAGGCACCTGTCTGTTCATATAAACTATCATATGGTCTCCCCACCTTTCATGTAAACGTGCTCAAATTAAAATGATTATTTGGACAGGCGGGTTGCCTCACCTACCTGGGGTCCCCCACCTCCATGTAAACAGGCCCAAAGAAGAAATCACTGTATTCGCATAGATTATTACCAATTTCTCGTGAGGTGAGAAGCGCGAAAGACTGGTACGACAACGGCATGCGCGCGCATGCACGTCTCTAGGACTAGAGCTTTAGGTTCTTCTTACCCGCTTGGATGCCGATGACTGCTAAAGAGTCTTGTGACTTTTTCAATAAGTATATTGGAAAGTCAGTGCAAAATTGCTGTAGGTCGTCGCTGAGAAATGAACGCTCAGTGAGTTCCTCATTCACCATCCATGTGCTGTCAATACGCGTGCCCTTGTTGATAACTCCCTGGTGGATTGAATGATCCTTAAATTGCCCGCGTTCGATATATTAAAATTTTTAACATGACTCTGGGGGTTTAGGGTCAAAATTGCAATTTTTTACGACTCCAGTGTCTCGCAATTCCCAGAAGAGATTTGAGTACAAAGAAAACCAAACCAAATATAGAAGAATGACCAGAAAGCCTCGGAGTCATGTTAGAATTTTAATATATCGAACGTGGGCTATTAATATCCGGCTACATGTATACATGTAGTCAGTAAAGTTATAATAATATGGCAATAATAATACAATAATATCAATACATGTTCAAGGGATTATGTTATGCGAATTAAGAAAATAATCACGTAAAGGAAAATGCTTTGAACTTGAAACAAATTCAGGCTCTCAGCTAATTCTTTAAAGGAATACTAGATATAGAGATCAGTGTGGAGTATTTGTGTGTAGGGGTTAAAGATAACTAAACAAGGTCAATCTCAAGGGACACGGTCAGCTTTGCTGGGACCGCGCTGACCTGGACACTCGTTTGCAATTTTGAAGAGCGTTTACCTCAACCCAAAATCAAAGATAGGCGCGCGTAGGATACATCTAGAAATCCTCTTCAATCTTACCTAGTGTTTCATTTGATCTTTGATATTTTACTGAAAACCTATTTCTGAGTATTCTTTTGCTCATCCTGTCATGTTTTTTTAACATATTTTGTTAAAAACAGCTTGAGTCGCGTATGTTGTAATATGTAAGTCAGCTAAGAAATAGTGTCTAATACCCATATTCATCAGCTGACGCCTTCTTCCAGTTAATAAAACAGTGAGAAGAACAGAGAGCAGACATGCAACAAAATGATTTCGTCACCTGGGAGGCTTTCTCAAGATCTCCAATGAGTTTATCTGGAGTAGACAACTCTTTTGGCAAAGGCATCAGATAACAAATCCCTTTGTCAGGAATTCTCATCATGGTTAATTTCTGCAAGTAAGATTCAGAAAAAAGTTTGAAAAAAAAAAAGATAAAAAATAACAATTGATCAAATATAATTAATATCTTTTTTCATTACCGTTTCTATGCGCCATCAGAGGAGGAAATGAAAGCTAGACGCTCACGACCGCTTGTTTGGCCAAAGAAGGAGACAAAAAAGTGTTATTTTTCTTCCTATCATCCCCCGCTCACGTTCCGCTCTCGTCTTTTTTAAAGACCCATACGCAACGTCCACATTTCCCTTAATGCACTTTAAGCCAGGTTTCCATATGATGGCTACGATCGCTGCGATCGCTGAGAAAAAAAAGTTCAGCGATCGCAACGATCATAGCGATNGGGGGGGGGGGGGGGGGGGGGCAATTAAGGTACATTATGGGAAATTTAGAAGTGGCGCATTTGGGCCATCGTTGTTGGCAGTTGTTGCGTCCGTTTGCATGTAGCTAATATATAGATTTAGCCAGGGCTAAAAGCGAAGCTCTCTTTCATATTTATAGTTTACTTAAACAAAATATGAAATCGTGTAATGCCAAAGCAATAGGTCTAATGGCAAAAAAAAAACAACAACAACATTTTTGCACGTGCTGCACACTTTTTTGTACATTTCCTTGCCTTTGTTTTCCACGACTACAACGTGTTCCTGTTCACTTTTTTTTCATTTTTCACTGCCGCTCATTTTTACTTTAGTGGCCACCAGCATTGCTCATTTTCTCACTGTCGCTATAAAATTTTCATGCTTTTCTACCAACGAAATTGGTCTCCGTTGTTTTTTTATTTCTCGCTCTAGCTCTTTCTCTGTTATCCACGTTAATGTAGACAATAAAATTTAGTTGAAAGAAAGACTCGGCTTTGTTATTGTTTTTTCACCCCTAAAAGTCTGGGTGGGCATGCGATTTACCGTCGAAAAGCACGGGGTGCTTGAAATGCGAAACTTCACCCCAGCTTATATGAAAGGGATGGACGTACCTGCATACTAGTTCGTAGGGACGATTTTGTCAGAATCAAAATTTCTTGGATGCATAGGTAAGCAGATTTTCTTACTTATGGTTCTCCGTTGCGCACGCTAGAGCTCCGCTAAAAGTTTCACCGGTTACAAACTTGGTGCAACAAGGCTCCCAACCACACGCAACAACATGCAACAGGGTGTGTAAATGGACGCAACATGTAACATCCGACAATGTTGTGGAGCTTTAATATAATTACCTGTTTAAAGTCATGCATGACATCACTGCGATCCACGCCGGGGTGAGCAGGAACTTTAAACACCTCTGTTTGCTTCTGTGTGTCCACTTCAATCGTTTCGTTGTACTCTTCTCCCGATTCAGTAACGTGAATTTTAAAATCCACGACCTGCATTAGACAAGCAAGAATTAAAATGTCAGTACAGTAGTTCAGGTGAATGAGGATGACGAACAGCCAGTTCAACTTGTAACTCAGTTCTTTTTGCTTTTATTTGAGAGTACATCTTTTAATGGTCTTTTTTGAAAATGCAGCAAAACCCCGCGTATAGGAACTTAATGGTCACTGTGATTTTATTATTACATGTACTATTATTATTGCTGTTATTATCATTATCATTATCATTATTATTATTATTATTATTATTATTATTATTAATATTATTATTATTATTATTATTAGTAGTAGTAGTAATGGTAACAGGACTGAGTGGAGTCCAATTCGGTCTGTAATCGAAACTATAATAAAATTCTCAAATCTGATTGGTTCTCAACTGCCCTGATTTCAGCTTTAATAGGACAGTTTAATAGGACCGTACGCGTCATGCCTAAGTAATTGGACGTTACGCGCCATCACGCGCGCGCTTAAATGGCTCTTTTTTAAAAACGTCTTGGAATTTCTTGTGTTTTGATTTAAAAAGAGCCCTATATATCACAAATTTTGTTAAAGTTATGATTAATTGGTAACAGAACTTCGTGTCGTCCAATTCGGTCTGTAATCATACTCATGATTAAACAGATCGGACTCCCGCTACGCGGTCGTCCGATTTTGTTAATCACTCGTATGATTACAGACCGAATTAGAATCCACTCAGTCCTGTTACCATTACTAATCATACGAGTGATTAACAAAATTGGACGACCGTGTAGCGGGAGTCCGATTTGTTTAATCACGAGTATGATTACAGACCGAATTGGATGACACGAAGTTCTGTTACCAATTAATCATAACTTTAACAAAATTTGTGACATAATAGGCTATTTTTTAAATCAAAACACAAGAAATTCGAAATTTTGTTTTGCTAGCAGTGAAAAAAAAGCTATTTAAGCGCGCGCGTGATGGCGCGTACTGTTCAATTACTTAGGCATGACGCGTACTGTCCTATTAAACTGTCCAATTAAGGCTGAAATCAGGGCAGTTAATGGCCAATCAGATTTGACAATTTTGTTATAGTTATTATTATTATTATTATGGAAGAGACCATATCCAAATTCAGGAAGTATAATGCAAAGTAAAGGAAGAGCTTACCTTCTTAGACTCCGATCCGTCACCCCTGGATAAAGGATTTCCGGAAGTGGAGCTTGTTAATACAAGTAGAAAGAGCAGGAGGCAGTAACTTCTGGCCACAAATACAAATAGTTTCTTTAAAATAAAAATATAAAAGATTGTTTTTAAGACCTGTTGATACCATTGGTGTGTTATTGTGCAGAGCAACTTGTCAGGTTGTGAATGGTCGAGAACCAAATTCAAACATCACTTTTGCGTTTATTGACTTAAACATTTCATTTTTCGTTAAAAGTTTCTTCGATCGCGTTGAAGATCGTTTCTCGTTTGTTGTAATAACTTGTTGCATAACCCTGAATGACCCGATAATTCTTCCGAACTTAAGTTTTCTGAGTAAATTTTTGTAATACCCAAGAGAAACTGGAACATCCTTTTTTAAAACTGACACATGGCCGACACATTAGAAGAGTCTAGTAGTATCGTTATCTCTCTTCAGTCCTGGTATAAAACGATTTTTCTGTGTGCATAGATTAGAATTTCTTAACGTATTCTAAACAGTCGTAAGGAACAGCGATTACTTACGTTAAACATGATCACTTCAGAGAAGTTTTCTTTGTCGCTTCTTTCTGAACGGTCTTCTCCTCTTTAGAGAATCTTGAGAACGTCTCTACTTTTCTGGTTTTTTTCACCAACTGAAGTCTGCAATTTCCTTGCTCTCTTATATATGATTTCGTTGAACCATTGGTCACGTAGAGCAGTGAATTCCTTCATACTGTACAGAGTCAATTTTCTTCCGTCTCACCGTTCACGGATAGCTTTTAACACTAAATAAAATAATGTATACGTGTTTCAGCTCAAACGCCGGTTATACTTAGTAGGCTCTTTGCGTGACTTGATGACGTGACCAACTTTCGGTAAAGACGAAAACAGTTCACTTTGAAAAAACGTGTAAGGTGTAATGAGCGAAGAAAAATGGCGAATTAACTATGAATACGAGTTTTCGCCACATGCAAGGGAACCCTAGACAGACTTGGATTCTGGATTCCACGCCGTGGATTCCAGATACCTGACACTGGATTCCGGCCGATTCTTTGTCAGTGGAACTGGGATTCCGAATTCTAGTCGCAAGTGCGATTAGGATTGCTCGAACTGTATTCTGGATTCCAAAGCCCAGGATTCCGAATTCTACAAGAAAAATTTCCGGGATTCCGCATTCCACAAGCACAAATTTCCCGGATTCACTCACATGTTGCGGAAGAGTTACTTCAGCTTTCTTATCGTCATATTCTCCTTGTTGTTTGACCTCAATTAAGAGGTTATAGCTGCAGAGTAGATGCTTGTTTTTAAAAACTAACACATGATTACGGAAGCAGCCGTTTCAGACATTAGTGTCGTTCATCCCACAGCGGAAATTCACGTATTGGTCAATTCTAATTGGCCATTTCAGCTAACACAGAAGCCACATTTTGAATATTACTTCCCCTTGGGCTGTATCTTAAGTAAATTTTACCTCGGTATAAATAGAAGCCAAAATTGAGGGTTTTCCTTGGTGTAAGAACCGGGGGGGGGGGGTACTTCCTATAATCGCCTGATACGGGGAGGCTCAGCCGAAACGGGTACATTTTTCAGGCTTCAGGCTTTAGGGTTGGGATTTTCCGCGTTGAAGTATATGAAAGGGTAAGGAAATCTTTCATTTGGGTCTGTGAAAGGGCCCAAAGGGCTAACAGATGAATTTTATGGCTTTATAAAGTCGGGAAAACGTTCTATTTTTGTGATTGATTCCTATTTAAATGACAATGCATTTACAGCAGTTAAAAGGGTTACAAAGTTCTAACGAGGTATGTGAAAGCGGTACCTCCTTCGTGAAAAAGGTATATAAAAGGGTAAAAGGGTATAAAAGGGCACCCCCCCACCCGCGCCGCCCCGGGTGTAAGAACCAATGAAGCTGTACACTATTCTTTGTTTTGTAGCCACATGTCTACCTAGGGCGCTTTCCTTTCGACCTAAGCTTCCGAAAATTTAGAGACGGTGGTGAATGGTACAGGAATTTCCCGAGAAAATCTCAGAAAGTCCGAGAACCGTTAATTTTCTGAAATGCGAACCATTTAACTGAAAGTTCTAGAAATTCCGGGAGCAAAGTGACATGGGAAGAAAATTTTCGGGACGAAAATTTTCAAAATTTGGCCGTACCACCAGACGTTGTCCTATTTTTTGGAAATTTTTGAAAATGCCGTGTCCCATTTGCTACTGGAAGTTGCCGAAAATTCAAGCTGGAGGTTTTTATTGAATGGAAAGCGCCCGTTAGTCTGCTACACCGAGCCGTTTTTAGAGTCGTCACGCAATACGTTGCGTGACGACACTAAAAACGGCTGTGTAGCAGACTAAGCGTCCGTAGGCTCTATTATGTTACGTGACTGGTTAAGATTACAGGTTATTGACCACTGCAAAAATACCATAACATACCATAATACTCTTTGTTGGTCACTCCAAAATTTTGCAATTTTTTTTTTTTTGGTGTAAGATTTCGGTGACTTGTTGTCGAAATATACGTTAAGCCAAATTGGCTACATGCAGTACTAACCTTAACCCCAGCTTTGAAAATTAGCTTCTTAGCTTGTAACAACAATATTAACCTTGCGTTAAAGACCTCTGGTAAGGTTAAATGGCTAACAATAGTCAAAAATACGCTTTCTTTTTAAGACCTGTCCAAAGAAACTTAAAAGGTTAACACTTTTCACCTGATCTTATATCGCTGCCAAAAATTTTTCTCGCAAAAAATACTTACCTCGCCATAGAGATAAAATGCTTCTAAACTTTGATTTCACCTAAGGATTTTAACAAAACCAGACGCAAAAGTTCCCTCTCTCACTTACCTTTGACGCATGCGCAATTACGCAAAACCATATACTTCCAGATAGTCTGAACGCATTCTCGTCCAATTAAGCCGAGTGGCTCTGCAGACGAGGATAGTCTGAAAGTTAGAAATGCCGAGTATGGACTGAAATTAGCCTTCGACGGCACTAGATCTTGTGTATCGTTTATGACAATTTTACTCCAAAAGTTTACGTGCTTTTTTTTATCCTTTTTGGCTGAACGTGACCCTATTTATTTCTTGTTATTTTAAAAAAATGAAACCCCAAAACTAAGGATTTTGTTTAGATATGGTGAACTAAGATAATATATTTTTGTTTGAAATTAGGAATTCGATAAGAATGGGTTTCATGAAGGAAACCTAGCGCTGATGATAAGATTAAAAGCAGCAAGTAGGTTAAATCTAGAGCTAACAAATAATAGTTTGTTTGCGCGATAGATTTTCAAAACTGGAAAAGTGGCTTATAACAACAAGTCTGACTAAAATGTGTTTCCGTGTATTAAAAGCTCAGCGCTTAAGTCTTATTAAATTGTGCGTTCTTGGACGCCGATTGAAAACTAATGCAAAATGTATTTATGAAATTTCTAAAAATACAAGCCACGGTTTTAGCTTCTGGTTGAAAAACAACTTCTTCTTCTTGCATCATATAAGGTTATTTTAATCAGTTATTAGAGTTTGTGCTGATTCAGTGAGTGAAAATTACGGACACTCTTGAAGCAACAAAATCCTCCCACGTGTTAATCAAGAAATTCTAGTAAAAACGTGTTTGAGAATTTGGTCATAAATAAGTTCCCTTTCAAGTGGCTGTTGAGCTATATTTAAAATTCTACATCAAAAATAAGCTGTCTTTCTGTGTTTTGTTGTTGATGGCGAGGATCCGCGAAATCTCTACTAATCCACCGCTATTCACTTCCGATCTTTTAATTTGCCTTTGCCGCAAATCTCGAGTAAATTGCTGGCACGCGATATTAATCACTTATCAAAACAGATGAAAAGTTCACTTTCCCAAAGAAAAAAGTAC